ATATATATATATATATATATATATATATATATATATATATATATATATACAATGTATACATACATAAAACTATATCTATAAATCATTAATTTTTTTCTGTTTTAAAACATAGCTACAATGGATGATCGAATTGAGGAATATATCATAATGATTGTAAATATTATTTGTCAGGGTCTAAAGTTATTTAAAGAAAGTACAGCTGAGTATGTTTCCATACACCAAAGAATTTATTTCATTCGCACAGATTTACTTTATATTTGCACAGATTTACTACAAATTCATTATTTTCTGAAGCATATTTTTCCTACTAAAAACATCCTAAAATTCAATTTAAAAACAACATTGTCCCGGAACTAAATCTTTATATTATATCTTGCAATGTCCAATAACCGTCCTTCAATCATTTTTCAAAAGTTATGTCTTTGAATTATTCATTGTTCTCAAAAAATATTAACAGAATGTTTTCCAAACAATTCACCTTTAATTATTACTTGTTTCTTAGATTCCAAGTTTAATTTGACTTTAATCAATGTGTTTTGCATAAACAGGAATAATTACAAGACATTGACGAGAATGGTGATTATTTTAAAATAAATAATAAATAACCTTTAAGATTCTTGATATAACAGGCGTGAAAACAAATTACCGTTGTCAAAGATTTACTTTTAAGATGTTGCATATTAAAGATTTTTTTTGATCAGTAATTGTGTAGGAAATTCATTCTGTTAATGTGCATTGTTTCCTGATAACTTCAAAAAGTCTTTCAGAGAAGCCTGTCTCTTTTAATGCTGTCATCACAAGTCACAAATTTCCCATCCGTTTAATGAACACACCCGCCTTTGAAAGTGATTAGATCTGTAAGCACTTGTACATTATATGCCTGTCGATAGAATCCCTCCTCCACCCCAAGATTTTCCTCCAAAAATATATACTCCTGAGCTCGTTGTTTTTCTTTCCCCAGAATTTGTTTTCGTAGATTTCGTTATTTACATTACCTAAAAGTATATGAAAACCGTCCTATATATACAAGCTAATCCATCTAAAGTAGATTTGTAACATTTCGTGGGGTCTATAGAATGATGATCAATAAATTGTTTTTGTATTTCAATTGAAAGTAATTTTTCTCATCACAGACATTCACAAGTCTGAGCAAAATGTTTTGTGTAAAAGAATACAAGAAACCAGGGAGTGTGATTAATATCTTTTGGAAGAAGGTTTTGTCTACGAATACACTGTTTTACCTGTGTTCTTTATTAAATTTTGACGTTTTCATTAATAAATTACGCACTTCTAATATCCATTCAAAATTATTACCTTCTGAAAATTGAACAAATTGAACAAATTTGATTTATCGTCTTATACATGTACATGTATTAGCATAATTTTCCTATCCCCAATGAGATCTGAATTAATAAATTTTCAGTATATACCAAATCTTTGCTTCGAAATGAAAAAGAAAACACCAGTAGCATATAGAATATTATGTAAACTGTTTCTCTGATCACTTTTCTCCGTATATTCTTTTCTACTGTTATCCTTTTTGCCGACAAGAAAAATGTGTATGTGAAACCATGGGAGGTTGTAGTACGTATAGTACGTACTTCCGTACAAGCCTGAAAATACGGATATATATTTAATTGCTGTGGTTAAATTTAGAAATTTATTTCAAAATTAAGGATTATCTCCCTCATGCATAGCTCTGATCCTTCGACTTATTTGGCTCCAGTCTTTGGCACCCTTGTTTCAGCCCTTCAAAGTTTCTTTAATTATTTCGGATTTTCTAACTTTTCGGCATGAGCAATACTGAAGAGACATAATTTGTCGAAATGCATATCTGGTACATCAAAATTGGTACCGTATAAGACTTACATTAGTACACTTTCCTAACATTTGAAATTTAAAGGTTTTAACACAAAAACTTGTGTACTTACTTATTTATTTGCCTTTTTAAAAATTATTTAAAATAGAATTCTTAACTTCATCACATCTGTGACTTTGAACATTGAGATACAACCAAAAATTGGAAATGCATTTTTTAAAACAAATGCAAATATTTGAAGATGATTTTTTTTTTTTCAAAACAATTCAAAACAGCTAGAAAATAACTTTTAAAAAAATGAAAATTCATATTTCCTCTATCAATATTTTGATACAATTTTTTTTCAACAAAGAAGAAAACGTGAAATGTTAAGGACACAGAAGAACTACATACAGAATTAATATGGCTCAAAATTGTTTGAAAAAAGACAAAGATCTATCAAATTACAACGTTAAAAAACTACCAACATCTGGGACAAAGCTCTCACGGTTCCTGCAATACGTTAACGATGTTTGTCAGGCCTTCTATCCTCTGCCATTACCCGTCATACCTTTCCGCCATTGTTGTCGTCTGATGCTACCTGGTAGTTACCCGGGTTTGCACGTAATAAATCAGGGTCTTGTTGAAACGATTAAGCATTGCTGACGGTAACACCAAGCGACCATCCGTACGGGAATATGCTCGTTAATGAAGGTGGACGTTTTCATAGACTACCTTTTTACCGATAAAATACGATGTATCAATTTAATGGAAGAAACTAGCAATGTGGCCCCTCTTTTAAATTAAGTTGATCAAATTTCCAAATTAAAGGACTGCCATTCAACGATATAAAACTGCAAATTACTTGAATATCACGAAGATGGCGAGCCCTATACTAAGAAAGGCCAGTTTCGTCTTCTTTTGTGTAAGAGGTACTTATTTTCTTAATTTGGTTTAATCGTATCATTTTGTTTCCATCTGAAATATCAAAGAAAAGATCAATTTTCTCTTTTTTGATACAATTAATTCTCCGTTCTACACGCATAGCATCTGAATATAACACGCCACATAACGCTGTCTGAAAAGTTCATTTGGGACATATGGTAACATATCTCAAGAAATTTAAGGTACCCACAAAGTTAGTTTTTAATTAAAACTTCAATGTACAACCATACCCCTCTCTGCATGCATAGCTTATTTAAATTTTTGATTTATACACTATACATGTAAAAATATTTATTTTTGATTTTTTCAATAGATTTGATAATGCAATGGTTGGTTTGTAAATATTTTATGTCTAGAATTTTTAGCAATTTGGAATTGTAAAAGTCTCTAAAACCTTTGTCAATTTGACCAGTTTTTAACAATTTGTATTTGGTTAATTGATTGTCTCTTGTTTTACGTCCAATCGAAAATTTTTTTTCCTCAGATAGACATTACAATATACTCGTAAAGGGCTTAAAAATGAAGGCCTTTATTCACTAGGCACTCAGGGTCATTGAGCAATGAGAGATCTGTATCGTGCCAATGCCTACCATGACACAGGGCCTCGCTTTTAAGGTCTCATACAAAAGACCCGCAACTTTCACTTCCAAGTGCCAAGCGTTTGGCGAAGGAACAGTTGCTACCCATTTTTTAAAATTGATTTTAGTACACGGTATGTCGTGGCTTAAACCCACGACCTTCCGATCACGAAGCAAGCGTTCTACCGACAGAACTACTGTGACGGTTTGAGAAAGGACTTAAAACATTTAGACAGCCTTTTAAATAAGCGTTTACTCTTCAGTCGCGGGGTAGGGGGTTGGATCCTTAAGTCGCAGGTTCGAATCCCATTGCGGGACGTGGAGGCCGGTCCTTCTGATAAGGCATTATAACTGTGGTCCCGTGTAGCAGTAGGAGATTCCTCACTTCTCAAAGGCCGTAAGTGCCGAGTAACGGCTAATTTTGCAGCTCTCAACCGGCAATTGGTGGCATCTCAATATGAGTGAAAAATTCTCGAAGGGACTTTAAAAATAAAAAAATAAAAAACATGCGTTTAATAATTTTAAAAAAAAATATTTTAATCAAAGTTTGATAATAAAATGATAATTTTATTTTTTAAATTCTCATCACATGTCTATTTTATTTGCCATTTTGATGAATAGAAAGAAGGAAACTACAAATGTAACTTATGTCTGTATCCATTTGTAGTAAGTGTACAAGGTGCCACATATATAATAATCAAATAATAATAATAAGCCAAATATAATAATCGACAATCTACTTTTAATGTATTAAACCTAGTCTACATTCTTTGAAGAACATTTTTTTTTCTAAAAAATTAATATTATTTTATTATTTGTCAGTAATCTGTATAAGGGCAAGTCATAAAACATTAGCGTTTATTTTCCACTTTAATCCATATTTTTATTTCATAATTTTGAACAAATTTTTTGAATTTTTTTAAATCGCTAAAAATAATGAACATGAAAAGTTCCAAAAAATAAATATTAAGTAAAAATAGCACATGAATTAGGTTTGCTCATACATGTAATTACAAATTTGTAATTTTATTCTTTGATTTTCTATGACCAAGAGAAAATCAGTTTAGAATTCTTAGAAATGACTTCTTGTTAGTAGATATGTTAGATCTATCAACGCTATGGTTTTAGGTGTCTAAGCTTTCTACTAATCTTAAACATAGTACGGTAAAGGATACACTTTATGTTTATTCTCCCTGCTTCATTGCCCCTTCTATGGGTAAAAGTTGAAAGCGAGATAACTTGATTTGCAAAACCGAATTTTTGGGAAAAAATGTCCGTACTGTAAAGTTGAAAAGGGTTGAAGTTGAAAGCGAGATAACTTAATTGTTTTGCAATATCGAAATTTGTTGGAAAATAAAATCACTTGTTAATGTCTGTACTATCTGTACTATATGCCGCCAGTGACATCATACTGAATCAGCAACTAATCTTCATTTATTTGCCCTTTCAAAGAAGAGTGTTAAAAAGGGAAAAAATAGCTTATTAGGAAGTGTGAATAAATGAAAGTATACGTGCTAATTTAAAGATAAAACATATATTAAATAAATTCACATTGGCCATTTGGTAAGTGAGACATAAACTCTTCATTTAATTTAACCTAGAAAAAAGTTAGGATTATTAAAAAAAAATGTAAAAGCATATTCTATAAAAACCACCTGATAATCAAATCTAGTCCCTAATCTCACCAACGCATTTGTGCAGAGTTTATTAAACGAAAGGTATACAAAATCAAGCCCCATCCCGAATTTTCTCGTAGGCTCTGGCGACCTGTAGAACTGTAGTTTCATCGAACATTTTCCCTACTATCACCATCCCACACGGAAGTCCCTCAGTAAATCCAGCGTTAATGGTCAGGGCAGGGTGTCCTGTGGCGTTGAATGGAGCTGTGTTTTGTATCATTCCAACCAGGAGTTTCAATGTTTCTAGAAAAAAAGAGACTAAATTACTAACTAAATTATTGTAAAAATTGTAGTGGATGAAAATGGCTGTACATGTATAGAAAAGAAATAAGTGTTGATTCTCCAACAGAAATGCTAGAAATTACTGTAAAATCATAAAAATTATTATATTTCTGAGGTCAAATTTTCATGAATAGAGGAAAAAAAATACTTGTTCGTGGCGATTTGAATTCATGGCTGAAGAAGTTTGAAATTTAATATTTTGGGGAGGTCATGAATTAATAGGTCTCTTCATATCACGAAAACAACGAAAATAAAACCCTCAAAAATATTAGTGATTTCAGAGTAATTTTTATGCACAAAACTTTGTGTTTAATCATCTATATTTGAAATAATGATCTTTCAATGTGCTTCTGGTACATTTAATAGTTTGTAACTTTTTGTAAAAGCTCTGCTAAATTAAATTTGATGTTGCATATACAGTGTATGTATCATTCTCCAGATTCTGTTGCTTAAAGATTTCATGCAAAATATGTCTTAGAAATAACAATTTCATTTCAACTTTTACCTTCAACAGAATTATCTGATGTAGGAAGTTTAAATGCCTTCCCCGGAAGTGTCGGCATTACCATGGCATCAAAATCCTTGAAAATTCTGCTATACTCCATTGTCAGATATTGTATCAGGTTCTGTCCCTTGGCGTAAAATTTGTTTTGATAATTCCTCTGCATAAACTCTGCAAATATCATGACGATTTTGACCGGTAGGGGGCAGTCAAATGGGCGGAGGTTATAAGATCTCGCCAGAGCTTCCTGAAAGGGTAGGTCGTAATTTCCTTTCCAGCTATATCCATGACCTTTAGTAGTTAAGTGAATAATTATACAATAAATGTTACATGTCATAATATTATTTGACAGTTTGCATTGGTTGTGCGCTTACAAGTGATAAGCGAAGTGTTCTACAGAATGATTTTGACCGGGTTAAGGAGAGAGTTAAGAGGAAATTCAGGAAATACCAGGTAGGATTTACAAGAACATATAACAGAACTTTAGCTTAAGAAAAACTTAGAACAAGCAAAAGAATGGAAGGAAACACTCTGATTTTGTCGATTACAAAAAGGCTCTCAACTCAGTGTACAGGGAAAGTTAACGGGTAGAAATTCCCAACCACTGATGGAATTGCTGCACAAATCGTATGCATCATCTCAAGTAAAGGAATTTACGTACTCTGGGAAATGGAATTTTTACCGTATTTCACTAATAATTCTACAAAAAGTAACTTGATATTTGAACTCTCGACTTTTATGCATCAGCATCAGCAATATTTCGAAAATTCTACTTCTTTTAATTCCGAATGATTGAGCTGGAATGCCGCTCCGTTAAGGTAGCAGCTAAAGACAGGAATAACTAGAAAAAAGCAATTCAGATATATTCATGATACCTTTTGAATATATTTAGTAATTCTATGTATCTCAAATAAATTAATACAAGTATTCCCGTTAAAGATTGTTAGTATAAATTTTATTTAACTGTTTATTACTCCTTTTATATCTTCTTTTAAATATAAGAAGTAGCACAGTATAATGTTCAACAAAAGTTATATCTTCTTTTAAATATACGAAGTAGATTAAGAACAGTATAATGTTCAACAAAAGTCAACCTCATAAAAGAGTTAACTTTCCCCAAATTTTATGAATTTATGATTAAGCGGATGCAATTCTGGTTTGCCGCAGTCGGTCAATAAACTGATGTTCACAAGATGAAATTCATCTTTAGAAATTATCCAAATAGAAATTATCATGTTGCGTATGTCTTTGAAAAATAAAACTTAAAGAAAACGTACCATTTCCTTTCACCATTGTTTGGTATGTCCCTTCAATATTAACTGGCATTCGTAGAGCCACACCTACATGTTCAACAATTTTTTTTATTATCTTAAAGCAATGTAAAACTTAAGAACGTAATAAACAGAATTAATATTTATTTCAATGCTACGATGAGCAGAAAATGCATGTAGCAATACGAAATCAACAATTTATTTTAATAGTTAACATTTTGTGTACTTTCAAATGTTGAAGGTGATAATTGCATTAAATGCAACTTTTTCCTCTTTGTATATAACAAATAAAGAATTGCTACAAATTCTTTATATAAAGTATAAATCTCATTGTAAGATTATTAAAAGAGTTTCAATTCATCATCAATACATACCTCAGCATTGACCACTCACCATAAAGAAATAGAGAGGGGTTATTCACTAAGAGAGGGACAGCTGAAAATAAAACGAATTCCTACCATCTTTATGAACTGGGAGGGAAACTTCTATGACTTCAACTCCCGCCTCTTTCAGTCTATAAGCTGCTTCCTTTACAATCTTCGCCGCATCTTCATCTACTCCTTCAAAACCTTCCTTGAGAATTGCTATCTTCTTTCCTTTTATCCCTTTGTTAAACTTGTACACAGAGGAAGCATACATAACAATAATGAAGTAGATAAAGTTCTCTGAGTATCAAATTGTTGTTAATTAATTAAAATCGTTACATAATATTTCATTTTTGTGCTGCTGTTAAGTTTGTGAGATTTTTCTGCAGATGGTGTTCTTATGTAAATACGAGATTATTTTAATGCACGTATGGCCATCATATCATAAAGTGTCGTAAAGTATGGGGAATGTGTGCATGTAAATATAGTAATATTAACCATGACATTTATTGTAAGTAGATTAAGTTCTTAGGGAGCTACATTGTACAAAATTAGAAACCTGCTTACCTCCGTGATGATCTTACCAATTCTGAATATAGAGGAACTGATATAGTTGGAAACTGTCGCGGATCGTTACCGTTGTCGTATCCAGCAATCGCCTGTAAAATTGAATTATGTTAACAAAGTTCATACTAGAAGAACTGAGAAACGATACCCCCGCCCCACCTCTTGTATTTTTTTTTTCAATGTTTGCCTTCAATGCTTCTATCTAACTAAAAATTATGAACTAGAAATAAAATTACACCCTTTCCTCCAGTTAACTTAAATTTCCCCAAATTTCCCTATAACCCTTACTTCAGAGTTATATTATTCTGATGTAAGAACTTGATCCTGACATACTGTAAGGCTATATCTTTAATTTGTGGGCACCCTGCACTGTTTCTCTATGGCGGAGTTATGGTCCAGGAACGATTGCACGGATAGAAAGACGGACAAGTAATTCCAATATACCTCCCTCATACTACTTTCTGGAGAATATACACAACAAACACATTACCAGTATAGTTGTACATGTATGTCTTATTTCGGATTGAATGTCTTATTCTCAGAGTGAGAGTCACTGTACCTCTAACAGAGTTGCACAGTCCTTCACTGTCCTGGCCATTGGCCCCACATGGTCAATAGTAATTTCTGATGGTATTATCCCGGTATAAGGAACCAACCCATAAGATGGTTTTAATCCAACAATTCCACACCAACTTGACGGGATCCGAATCGATCCGCCTTGGTCCCCACCAATTGCTACATCGACTATATTTCTGGCAACCTAACACGAAGGAAATCATTTAATGCTAACAGATCATTTTAGTGTTTTCTGATGAAAAAAGCATATATATTTCTGTTAGAAAACAATACAGCTTTCAGGAACATATATCCTTTTTTTATTACCCAAGATTGTGGAAAAACTGCTTGTTTACCAGAGAAGCTGAACCTGAGCTGGATCCACCCGCAGATCTTGTTGGATCATAAGGGTTTCCTATTGGTCCATATGATGACGTAGAACTACCAGCGGAGAAACACATATCCTCACACACAGATTTACCTAGAATTCTTCCACCTAAAACAATTATTTTTTTAATGCTCAATGCACCTTCATGAACATAAGAATGTGACGTTCTGAAATGTCAGCCTCTTTCACTGCACTTCTTTCAGCTTTCTCGGTCAAAAAATGCATATTTGTGCCAAATACTTACGCCGTATTTTCTTTTCAAATCTGATTCAATGTATCTTTGATAGTCTTCTTTGAATTATTCAGTCAAGTCTATAAAAATTTTCATGCCAAGGATTCTTTTATTCTGTATATCTCAAAAATATATTACATACAAGTACTCTGAGGTTGATACAATCGGTACGGATGTCTCCCAGTTGATTCGATATGTAAGAGCATGTTCTACATACAATCTTTTTCTAAAACGAGGCAGGCTATGATGATACGATGATATTAAGTTTTGTTTAGAGCCAACATTTTGCAAATTCTATGGCAGAAACATTGACCTTGCTTACAAATAAAAATATGTCGTTAGGTGGAATGTTGACTTATTTTTTTTTTTTAGCACAAATTGATATGCAATTATTTTCCCACTGAATGGTCTACAGAATTTTTCATGACAAGGATCACACGGCGGGTATGATCGGTCGTCAAAGGATGCTTACTCCTCCAATTCAGTCCCCATCTCTGTTTTTAGAAAATTTCCTGGAGATTAAAAAAAATTGGGTCGGGTCATTTTTAGCAAGTCGGTCGGGAGACGACATTGAAACCTTTAATTCAATTTTTTCTGCAGATAACATCATAATAGTGACATAGTCCACAACTTTCTGTATATTTCGACAGACAAAAAGATACTTGATGTAAATAATATATGGTACCAATTTTGATGCACTAGATGCGCATTTCGACAAATTATGTCTCTTCAGTGATTTACAAGCCGAAACGTTGGAAATCCGAAATATTTTTTTAAAAAATTGCAGAGCTGAAAAAAGGGGTGTCAAAGACTGGAGCCAAATACGTCGAAGGATCAGAGCTATGCATGAGGGAGATAATCCTTAATTTTGAAATAAATTTCTAAATTTTACCACAGCTAAACAAATATTTCTTTTGTTTTCTTCGCGAAAGTTTATTATTGTATTTGATTGAAATCTATACATAAATATACATAAATTTTACATTGCATAGTTGAAACTGTGCAAAATTGAGAGCAATAGAACTTAATTTTTTTGTTTTTTGACATCATGCTTTCTTTTTAAAATGTTTTGGTAATTTCCAAGTTTCTCTCTCTACCTGTATCCAGTATCCTTGCCACAATTGTAGCATCTCTGTCGGGTACAAACCCCTCCAGTATTTTACTTCCGTTCATCATGGGGACCCCGGCTACGCACACGTTGTCTTTGATTGCTACAGTTTTCCCCACCAAAAGTCCCCTCTCGGCTCCTTTAATGTCACACCGGTAATACCTAAGAATATCAAGCAAAACATCTGGATATACTCATACAACTTTATATATCTAGTCAAACTAATCATGAATTTATTGATTTAGAGTTTTGTGGCTAAGACGTATGTAATATATAGTCATATAATATTTGAGCATTTGCATAGTTAAAATTGGCTATTGACATAGTAAACTCACCAAGCATTGTCGTTGGTTTCCCTATGTCCCGGTGTCCTTGGGTATTTGACCGTAGGGGATGGTACCACAAGTTCGTATACCCTCTGGTAATCTATGCAGACATTGCCACAGAAATCTACAATGAGAAAATGATGTTTGACCTATGTTTTTTTTTTTACTTTATGTATCTGTTCTGATATTAAAGCTAGTGGTGTTAAGAAAACATTATATTTAACGCGTTGAAAATGCATATATTCTACAAAGATAAAAAAGGGTTTAGCATGAGCTGGAAACATGTACAGAAAAGGACGTCTTAAACCAACAACAAAACGTTCTTTAAAACTATAAATATATTATATTACTTGGAAACCTGAACAAATGGAAGAGAATCTAGATAAAATTAAATTCAAAGAGCAAACTAAAAGTCGATTTTATGGGAAAGTTTAATATAAAATAATATAACAACAGTATAAATAAAATTCAAGAATGCTAATCTACCCACGTCACCTGAAACATACCGAAAATTAAAGTTTTAGGACAAAGGCTGAAGTTCAGTATTAAAGGACTTCGATATTACATTTCAGCATAATTTGCTTCATATGGAATATGATTTTCATGACTTTAATCCAAAAGCAAGAGAACCGCGCGCACATGTTCTATGAATTTCAATGCCACATGTCAAGGTCAATCCTGGTGGTGATATTTATGCTTAAAAGGTTACCGTAAATTGCACTTCTTTCCTCCGTTGTGAGTCTCAGTCTGAGATCTTCAGCAATAGTCCTAATGTCATCTTCCGATATCCGAACAATCGCTGGACTTTTCTGAAATTCTGAAAAATAGACAGTTTTTTTTGTATTATAACACAAAGTCAAAAAAACGTTTTAAGACTTTTATTCTTGTAACAAGCAAGCCTAAAAAGTCCTCTTCGTGGAAGCAATTCAATGATTATTTGAAGTAAATAAGAAAGAGCTCTTTAGTAGTTCTGCAAGTTACGCTATGAAATAAAGCTGATTTTCCACATCAAATTAAAATCAAATGTTATTTTTGTCCGTCTTCATTTTATGATTTCATCTTTTCACTTACTTTAAGATAAGCTAGTATATGTATTTTACAACATAGAACCATCATTTAAGAAATTAAAAGTACCCAAGTTGGACGAGTATAACCTGGGTTGGGACAATTTACGCTTCATAAACCGTGAATCAGTTTCATGTGTTGACGGGGAGACCGTTGTGGCCAGCGGAGTTATGTATTTATTACTGGATACCTTTTCACTTTTCAAACCAACGCGACATTTGAAAGTTAAAACCGTGACTTGTTAGCAGTTAATAGTCGTTATAAATGAATAGGAATATGAAAAATGCTATCTTTTTTAACAAAGAACGTTTAATCTACTTACAGTTTTGTAGGAAACATTCTTTACGTTTGACTCTTGCATTATGACGATTATTCTAAAAGCCAAAAAGTCAAAATTTGCCGGGGTAATCTCATGATCTTGTTAAAAACTCATAATTCATAACACGAATTTTATTAAATTAATACAATGAAAAAGGTGAAGATAACGAACAGTGCTCAATCTCATAAATCTATTAAACATTAGTGTGAACAGGACTGTAATTCGGACCTCCGTAAACGCCAGAAATGGGATCAGGTGCCTAGAAGAAATAAGCATCTATTGTCGTCCTCTATAAACAGTGCAATCCGTAGTCAAAATAGGTATAAAAAATATATGGCTTAACGATTGGTAAGAAATATGTCAGTAAAGATACGATGGGTTGTTTATCTGCAAACAAGGTCATTATAGCTATAATAGACTTCGCAAAATACTGACCTTCAAATTTTGTTGAAAGCTCTATAACATCAACTAATTTGTCATTAGCCTTCTCTTAAAAATTGATTAGATCGTATTCAGATCACACCTCTGCCTACTGAATCAGTTAGGAGACACAAACAGAATACGCAAGTGACGGTGGAATGTTTCTACATAAATAGGGGTAGTTGGCGACAGAAAAGATGAAGACTTCCCATTTGCAATGTTAGTTGGCCAAAACACGTCTGTAATGTAATTAAATAATACAAGTATGAAACAGATGTGGCAGGCTCTAAACAAAATTTGGAAATAATTCTTTTATTAAAGGCACATTTCTTTCTTTTTTTCCAAGAGTTTTATTTTGTAACCGCTCTTTTTTAAATTCGTAGCCACGAATTTTATTTCGAGGAATGGGGTTTTACTTACTGAATTTGATAAAAGAAATCGCATACAATCTCACAGATCTAGACTAACCATCGTATAATACTGGAATATAATTATTCGCTCACTCTGTAATCGATCTAGTGCAAATGTGTCATTTAATTACAAGTTTTATGAAACGACTTTTTCTGATATAGTAAAAAATGTAGAAATTTGACAAAACTTTTGGCTTTGTTGCTTTTATATAAAAACTCCAAGGCATATACATCATCAACAAATCCAGAAAACTCAATTATCGTAGACAACAATTTTCGCAAATTTGCAAATGATAATATTTTGCCATATATTTAACCTCCGATACCTGGAATGGGGGTCCTTTGAGAAGCTATTGACTAATTATGACGTCAGAATCCAGCAATACTTAGAGAACCTTCTCTTTCCAGTAAAACGTATGTAGCCTGACTAAAATTCATTGATAAATTTGGAGGAAAACTTTACATCGAGAGTATGTACGTGACGATCCATTAGTTTTTATAGCTGATGGTGTGAATTTATACGTAAGGCAATAGAAGATCTAAATGAAATTAAATATATACATGTAGCTGAATGTATCACCAGGAGGGGTGGGTTGGGGTGTCCCCCAATAATAACTCCAGTATATTCTATATAGTAAAACCCAGTCCTAACGATGTTGTTTTTCATTATAACGTTTAATGACCTTCTTTTTTCTATTGATATAGTTTTTTTGCCAGGGAATTTCTGTTCGGTTCAGCCCCTCATCTGAAAAAAACTGATGTTGCTTCCAATACATTCTAATTCAGAATATTATGTCCTATGTACACGATACATTACGAATAATTATTATAAGAACATTGTACAAATAAAAACCCACCTTTGTCTTCTTTGACCGACATTCTTTATCTCTGATATAAAAGCAGACTGAAACGTTTTCAAACCTTGCACAGGTGTATGGACATCAAATCATTAAAACTACATTGTATGGTGGCCTTATGCAGTCTTTGAGAAGACATATGTTGTATTTTAACATGAAAGGATATCTGAAAAGATACCTGTCTTAATACGGGTAAATTTATTGGAACATTGAGGTTTGGGGGGGGGATTACAAAGTGTAACTTTAAATATGCATAAATGTAATAGTCAAACTGACATTTACCAGAAAGTTATCATAAAAGATTACATCCCTCAGCATTTTGCAATGAAACAAACATATTTCTATAAAAAGCTTGGATAATACATGTACTTCTCATAATAGTGAGTTTGGTATACTAGTATACCGAAGAAATGCAAAGCTAAATTAAATTTATCTCTGAAATATATAATTGCTACCTATTGATTAAAGTATGGGAAGTAGGCTAAACAAATATGGGAATATAATTCTTCAATTTCTTTTTAAAACACTTTTAATGTCATGCATACAAGCAATAACTTTGATATACATGTATATCCAAGCCAAATCAAGGCATTTCAAATGCTAAGATTCAATATACTTTTTTGCAATGTGTTTTAAAATACAGTATAAACATTCATTTGTATAGAGAATCACATATTTATTCTAAAAAGCAGAAATTGTTTATATAAATTATAAAAAAAAAAAAAAAAAAAAAAAAGGTCAATTTTTTCCATAAGATTTGACTAATGAGACACAGTAATATTCCATCAATATCTTAAATCAGAAATCCGTAACGATGAAACATCATTCATATCTTTGAACATTGTGTGCATCACAATAAATCATAGACTGAATCATCTGTTACATTTAGGTTTTGATGTCCCATCCCGAATTTTCTCGTAGGCTCTGGCGACCTGTAGAACTGTGGTTTCATCGAACATCTTCCCGACAATCATCATCCCACACGGAAGCCCCTCACTCAATCCAGCGTTAATGCTGAGGGCAGGGTGTCCTGTGGCGTTGAATGGGGCTGTGTTTCGTAACATTCCTAAAAGTCTTAATGTTTCTTTAAAAAAATTGATAAAATAATTACTTTAATACGTTTATAGAAACAAATAAGATTTGATTTTGCTGAATATTTGTAAGGTGAAAGACTTAATCTTAAACCATCTAAATTTGAATTTCAATTACAACATTCTTTCATTTACCTAACCTAGTGTAAATAATCTACTGGTTACAATTAAATCCTATGTAACTTGATGCATATATTATTGTTTAAAAAAGAAATAAAATGATATTTAAAATGGATCTTCGAAATCCTAATTCTCTCTCTATCCCTCTTTCTCTCTTTCTCTCTCTATTTTTTTTTTTACCTCTAACAGAGATATCTGTTGTGGGAAGTTTTATAGGCTTTCCTGGAAGCGTCGGCAGAATCATGACGTCATAATCGTTAAGGATTCTATTATACTCGCTTGTCAAATATTGTATCAAATTCTGTCCCTTGGCGTAAAATTTGTTTTGATAGTTCCTCTGCATGAACTCGGAAAATATCATAAATATTTTGACAGGTAGGGAGCAGTCAAATGGGCGGAGATTAAAAGCTCCAGCCAGAGCTTCCTGTAATGGAAGGTTGTAGGTTCCTTTCCAACTATATCCATGACCTTCAGCAATAAATTTATTGAATGAGTTTGCAATATATATACGTTATATGTATTTTCTGACAAATGCATTGGTTCTGTATTTATTGCTTGTTTCAAGTTTTATTTACTTATTTTTACTACATGTTATAGTAAGTATACTTGTACTTTGATTAGCTATACAGAATCTGAATCTGAATCTCTGAACTCTTGAACTTTGATTACATGTAACTATAGTAAAATCTTTGATATGAGTACTTTAATTCACATAGTTAGTAAAACTTTGTGTAATGATTTCCTATGGTAAAGTCTTGTTTACCATTGAAATAATAAGAAACTTTTATGTTTTTACTCTAACATGGATCTTCCTCTGAAATTAACGGTAAATGTGCATGTGTACATTTTACATCTTTATTGAAGTGTATAACTCAGTTGTTCTGGAATCTTGTTTTTTTTTATCCAAGAGATAGCCAAGTAATATACGACAAAAGTACATACTAAAGTATCTACAATTGACTGCTTTCCCATCCACAACTGTGAGTAAATTAAAGGAAAAAATGTACATTCAATAGATGATGATTATCTTGAAAAATCATTTTCAAAATTATTTTAGGTAATCTGTGTCGCCTATACTAGTATTTTAGTGCACATTAAAAAAATAAGATAACGTACCGTTTCCTTTCATTAATTGTATGATATGCCCCTTCAATATTAACTGGCGTCCAAATGGCCACACCTGTATGTTCAACAGAGAGTATTTTTAATTGAAAAAAGAGGGTTGTGCAAAACTTAAGAACGTTCTGTAAGGAAGAAACATTTCTTTCATTGCTGCAATGACTGGAATGTTTGGAGCAATATAATTTTGAATAAGCAATTTATTTATTCAACTACGGATTTTTCCATTTGCCAAATCATGAAAAGGAGCACACGGGGGATGTGACCGTCGACAGGGGATGCTTACTCCTCCGTGGCACCTGATCCCATCTTTGATGCTTTTAAGAGGTCCGTGTTTGATCTGCTCCTGATTTGCATTAATATTGTTTCAATGGACTTTGGGCTTGATTACTGTTCGTTATTTCCATATTCCTTCATTCTATATTTCTTTTGATAAAAATAAGAGTGATAAAAAGCATTAGATAAATTTCTGTTCTCCCTTTATATAATAAATAAAAAATAACTAATTTTAACTTATTAATTTATGAAAAGGTTATCAAACAACATAAATAAGATATATCGACATTTCAAACGGGAGCAGAAGGCAGGATTATATTGATTTGTTGAGGGCGGACTGAGCATTAAATAAATTCCTACCATCTTTATGAATGGGTAGAGAAACTTCTGTGACTTCAGCAGCAGCTTCCCTCAGTCTGTAAGCCGCCTCACTCACGATTTTTGCTACATCTTCCTCTACTCCTTCAAAACCTTCCTTGAGAATTGCTACATTGCTACATTCTTTCCCTTTATCTCATTGTTAACCTTATATATATATATATATATATATATATATATATATATATATATATATATATATATATATATATATATATATATATATATATATATATATATAAATATATATATATATATATATATATATATATATATATATATATATATATATATATATATATATATATATATATATATATATATATATATATATATATATATATATATATATGAAGTTGATCATAATTTCTAAATAAATTTCTCAAGATTTTTTAAAAAATCATTTTCATCAATGTATAGCTGCTAAGTGACTTTTTCAGCAAATCAGAACGCTTTGGTTTTAAACAGAATGAACACACAATGTTCATCATATCCTATTAGGTTAGCGTAGGGTATTAAAGGCATATGTGAGTACGAGGGCTGTCCGAAAAGTTCGCAATTCTATACGGAACAAAAACTTGTCAGGCAACGATCTGATGATATGTTATATATATTAATTTTGCCCCTGACAAGTTAATGATAATTGTTTCACTATCATTATTGACAAACCAAATTTTAAGTTGTACCCTTTTTAATATTGCCGGGGGGATATATGTTTCTTAAACATTTAATGTTTTGCTTATAGTGTGAATTAGATTTTTTGGGAGCAAATTGAAATCTAATTGATACTATGTCAGATGAAAAATGTAATAAAGATGACGTAAAATGTATGAAAGATCAATTATATTCAGTCGTCTTTTAAGTTCCAATATGCAATAGAAATAAAAAAATGTTTATCGTGGTAAATCATCCCATTGCGCCTTCATTTAGAGGAATTTTTTGGCCTATGGGAGAAATAATCCCGATTTGCAAGTCAAGGGATTTTTCCCTCTATCCCAAAGTATTATTACTCCCTTGGGATTTTAAATGGGATGAAAAATCCCACCATTTCCCCATGGAATTTTTTTTATGTGGGAGAATTAAAGAAAACTACTACATTGTGCAAGTTAAGGTTGAGATAATATGGTCATAATAGAAAATCCCATCGAAGTCCAGGAAAATACCTAAATAATGCCCAGTAAAAATGGGAAGTTGAAGGTCTGGACTTTGTTGTATCCGGACTTAAATGGCACAGTGTTATGTGGGAAGAGTATTCTTGAGAAACTCACTTCACACACAGACCTGCATTATATACCCACTTATTAAAAAAACTGTTTATACCACTTTGCATTTAATTTGCTAACAATTGTTTCAGTAGTATAAGTTTGTTTGTCAGTAGGTCTATTTTCATATTCTTTTACGCCAAACTTTCATAAAATCTACAACAGTGTTCAAAAAGCCCATCTCTCTTTCCATGACGTTGTTAACTCTTTTAATCGGAGTTTTATTTATTGATAATCCGTCTCCTCACAGACCTGTGTATCATCTGATACCGAGTCTCAACCACTCAAAAGTCGCCTGTGCCATTTACAATGCACGACTCACTTTTGACATAAAGTTTAAAATATATATCATGATATATATAAATTCAAAGAATTTGAATTCATCGTTAACATTTCAACAAAATTTGAATATAATATATATGACGTTCAGTAAAAAAAATTATGACAGAAGTTTGCGAACTTTTCTAACTTTGCAGCCCCAGTATATCTAAGAATAAACGGAATACAGGGTGTTTCAGAAAATATGCAACCATTTTGATTGTTTATATTTTACTGGTTTTTCATCCAATACCATCCACTAATATGTCAAATTAAAAGGCACAATTTTATTGTTAATAAAATTAAATTAATCTTGCAAATAGATTATGAGTTACAAAAAAATAAAAAAAAAACTTGTGAAATTTTACCAATTAACAAAATTTTCAAAATGACGTCATTTTTTCTGAATCAGTAAATCTATGCGATACAGGAAATTTCTCATTACTAGTGCACAGAGT